ATCTACATATCTATTATGTATTTATCTGTCTATGACCTATCTATCTACAAAACAGAAACAAAACAAATAAAAGGTAATTTTTTGGGAGAGAGCACTCACATCTGGGGAGGGATCTGGAAAAGCTTCGTGAACAAAATGCTGTCTGAACAGAATTTCGAAGAAAAAAACAAACAAACAAGGAAAGACATTGTTCTAGTGATGAGTAACTGTCACTTAACCTCTCTCTCTGCCCTCTCTATGGGAACCATCTCCAATTGTCCTCATCCATACCTGGCCAGTACTGGACCCAGACAGCTCCAGAGGAGAAAGTGAGGCTGATGACTTTGCACAACCCTGTCTCATTTAAATCCAAATCACATTCAACTCATGGCATCATCTTCCTGATGTCATGGTCCTCAGGAATGAAGGACAAACAACAACCCTCTATAAAACTAATATAATAATTCCAGTCCTTCCCTCACAAGGTATGTTGTGAGGAATAAATGATGGATGTTTTAGAGAAAAGTTAAGAAAAGACTCTGCTAAAGCAAAGTATTACTAATTATATATGGGGTGGCCCAAAAGTCTTAGTGCACATCTAAGCTGTTCAATAGCTATTCAGTAATTTGAATTCTGCTATACTTCTCCTATACATAAACATGATGCCTGTACACACTCATACACATTTAGATACAAGGTGTCTCCAAACTTCAATAGCTTAAAACTGCACTAAGATTTTTTGTGACATCGTCTGGCTGCACTTTTGGGACATCTTACATCTAAGTATATGCATGTGTATTTTTATACATATATATGTGTATGCACACACACATGTATTTAACTAGGCCCATGATTTCATCTGTGGAAGGAGTTTCCAGTATGGTAATTCCTTCTACTGCTACAGATCAGCAGCACATCTGTAACTTACAGTTGTAGAGGATTCCCTTGAAGTCTGAGAGGTTACATCACATTATGGACAGTAAATGACAGAGTCAGGATTTGAAGCCTGGTATTGCTGAATGCTGAGCTGGCCCTCTTTCTAATACACAGAAAAAAAGGACTGCAGCTGACCCTGCAAATCTCCCCCACAGAAAGCATGTCCTTTAGCTCCCTTTAGTGCAGACTATAAATTCAGCATGCGTGTGCCAAAGCTGGCCTGCTTGTCTGTTGCCTTCTGAACCGCTTTCTCTTCTCTTCTGCTCCTTTTAAAATGCTTCACTAATACTCCTGCCTTTCTTTTCTCTCGTTTTTCTTTTTGGTACCTCTATTGCTACTCCCTTTCTTTCCCCAAATTATCCCTTCCCCATAAAGCCCCTTCCTAGTCATCAATAAGGATAGTCAAACAAACTAATCCTACCATTGGCTATATCTAGATAGAGCTGCCTCATTCTGCATCTGTAGTCCATCATACCTTTCTCTCTCTCTCTCTCTCTCTCTCTCCCTTTTCTCCCTCTCCCCTCTCCTCTCTTTTTCTCCCTCCCCCTCTCTTTCATTCTCTCTTTTTCTCCTCCTCCTCCTCCTTCTTCTCCTCCTCCTCCTCTTCTCTTCTCTCTTTCTCCCTTCCCCTCTCTCCCTCTCTCCCTTTCTCTCTCTTTCTTCCTTCCCTTCCCCAGCCCTTGGGAGTGGGAGTCTTGCTGAATTTTCTTCCTCTTCTTTAATATTCTGTCTTTAGGATAAATGGAGAGAAGCTGGTCAGCCTCTGTTGAACGTATTTCACATATCCCTTCTGTAGGCTAAAGAATCAATCATGTTGTACTAAAGTCATCCCATGATTCTCCTTATTTCATTCCTGAATTTGGAGGCCCAGCACTGGACACTGCCTTAAGGTCTCTCCCAAGGCTAGCCACAGAGGGAAAAGGAGTATATGTACTTTCTCCCTGCATCACTTCCTGGCTCATGCCATCTTTCTTGACTTTTGAACACCCTGACCACTCTTTTACCCATTCCCATCCAGTTTAGGGTCCCATAGGGTCCCTAGATCATCTTCTACTTATGGAAGTGATTCACCATGCATCCATGAGTGTACAGACAATGGGAACAGCTTCCACAGTTTTATTTCTGATTCACAGTAAGCAAAATGAAAATCTTCAGACTATGAGAAACAGACCCAGTGACTGCAGTGGCAGAGACTCCAAAGCTCTAAGTGTCCCTGGGGAAATGGGCTTTGCATTTCCCAGCTTCCCATCAATACATTTGGTGTTGATTTGCCAATTCAGCTAGGCCATCAGTAAGCAGAGCCCAGGCCAACAGTTTTAGGTCATTATGATAAATACTAGTGCAAATGAAACCAGACAAGTCCCCAAAGACAGTCCTTTCCATGTGAGAGGCCCACAGCAGTGGCGGGGGGGTGGGGGGGTGGGGAGAAGGGAGGCAGAGGAGGGAAATCTGAGGGACTTCATCCACATACATAAATCCTTCTACTTAACAGCAGGCTGCCTTTCCCACTTACTGCTGTTCCAAAGAGCCCTGAACATTCCCAAGTGGACAACAATGAACAGTTCAACATAAAGTAGATTTATAAGCAATAAACCTTCAGAACTCCAGAAAACACTGTACTTTATTATCCTGTGAGAAAGCACTCAGCTACTCTGGGGAACTTATACAAGCAACCCAATCCCCCATCAATCAACAAGCATTTCTAAGTGCTTACCATGTGCCAGGCTCCATGCCCTATTCTGGGGAAACCAAGACAAAAGTGGCACAGTGCATACCCTCAAGGAGGGCCAGAAATGGTCACATCCACCCCCCCCAACACACACACACACACACACACACACACACACACACACACACACACTGCGACAGAGGTCTTTAGCTTTTAAAACATTTCCACCTCAAACATCTTCCTTCCACATCTCCTCTACTCCCAAGAAGGAGGTTCAGTAAACTGAAAGAAGCTCAATCTGCCAGCTATTAATTTCCAAAGCTCCCCCTTGTCTGAGACAGTAAAGAGAAAGCGCAGCAGAACAATTGTCTGACCAGGACTGGCTTGCATGGGTGGGTAGGGGGATGGTATAGTGGGGATGGATGAGGAAGTTGAGAGATGTCTCAGGAATCCTTAGCTGGTTATTCAGAGGCCCAGAGGCAGCAGTGCATAAGAGAATGAGTAAGAGATTTGGTACTACAAGTACTAGATTGGAGGCCCAGCTCTGACACTTATTACTTATATGACACTGGGCATTTCCCTGAGCCTCTATTTCCTCATCTGTAAATGGGCTCAACACCTCTGAACCTTAGATTCTTCACCGATAAAATGTTCTCAACAGCAAGAAACAGCAGGTACTTAGCACTTTCCACCTATGGGTTGTTCAAGGAACACATGAGATCATATGTGTAAAGCAACATATTAACTTTTTAGGAAATGATTATTATTATTATTAGAAGTAAATTATTAGTAGTGGTCCTGGAGGCCATGAGAATACTTGGAGTGGTGGTTACAGAACCCCAATGAAAGGAACCATAATAACCTAGAACAGAGAAGCAAATATCAGGATCAGGAGGCCGATCTTTGGAAGTGGTTTGGCGTGGGGGATCCTTTATTTAATTCTATTACACACAAACACTATAAACCAAAAAGGGAGAGGGACAACGCCACCAGAATGACTTAGGGAAGGCTCTCTTTACACCTTCCACTGCTATTTCCCAGTCTTGGACACCAAAGAAGGGGGCAGTAAGTGGGTCATTTTAGGGTAGGAACCTGTGTGGATTAGAGTTTTGTGTCCATAACCCTAGAGAGGGAAAAGTGACTTTGGCCTGGTCATTTTCTGTCTCTGAGCCTCACTTTCCAGCTTCCTCTGCTTTTTAAAACAGCAATGACTTGGTGCCACCTTTGAATTATTGTGCAAAGAGGTAAGCGAGTATAGAGATGCCTTTTTTTATATAAACTCTTGGAAAGGTATGATAGAAACACTATGTACTTCAGTAATAATAAAAAATGGAATCAAGAATTCCAGGTGGGGGAAGTCTCTCCACCAAAGCTGATGTTAAACCATTTATGACCTCACAGATAAGTCCTAGGAACGATCTGAGCTAAATGCCTTAAGTGCCTTGCCCAGGATTGCTCAGCTAGTATCTCAGAATGGAGCTTGGGAAACAAGTTTTGCTGACTTTAAGTCCAGTACATTATTGTATTTAATATAAGTAAGGCGTTTCTAGCAAACATACATTAAAAACCCCAAATTTTCCCAGAGTCTTTACAGACACCCACTCTCTCCCTTCCCTAGCCCCAGCCCAACTCCCTTATAAAACATCTTTGACGAGTTGGATTGCAAATTCTTTGAGGAAAAGAGGAAAGTCCTGGGAGGCGGTATTGGGTGTGAGCTCCAGACGTGGAAGATGACAAATTAATGATAATTTACAGTTGCAAAGCTCTGAGTCTCACACCCTGTATGTGCTTGCAACAACTCTATGAGGAAGGCAAGGCAGCTGAGAGCTGAAGTGATGGGCAAAGGCGTAAAGCTGGAACTTGGCGGTCTGGTGCCTCTCTCCAGGACCCAACAAAGTGCCTTGCCTATGTTAAGTGTTGGACGAAATGTGTCTCCACATTTTCCCTATTGTTTGGTGGGTGAAACAATCTCAGGTTGTGAGGTAAGTCTGGGTACGGGAGGAGCCATCGCTCCCAAGACTGGTTCACAGTCTCACCTCCATACAGGCTCCACACTTATGTGAGTGAGTGAGTGAGTGAGTGTGTGTGTGTGTGTGTGTGTGTGTGTGTGTGGTCCTGCCCTTGAGTCAGGCAACGATTTGGGGAGCAGACCCCTGTCAGATTATGAGACAGACCTTGGGGAACCTGCAAAAATGCTGGGCCCTTAGGCTTTTTGTACTCCCGTTCACGGGGATGGGGGGAGGGGATAAAGTTTGGCGAGTTTGCTGCAACTCTTTGTGGCTCTGGGGATCATCCCATATGGGATTCGGGGGTCTGGCTGCAGGTGCTAGTCCTGGCCCAAGTACATGTACCCCCCTCCCCCCCAGTGACTCACTCTGACATAGGCACAGACACAGACACGGAGGATGCCACTTACCTCCGCTTCTCGCCTTCGCTCCCCTGCCTTGGGCGGGGCTCCCAATCCCGGGCCGGCCAGAAGCAGCAGGACCTGAAGTTGGATTCTGAAACTCAGAGCCATCACGCCCGCTGATCCTTTCTTTTCTTGTCCTTTTTTGGGGAGACACAGCGGTGATGGAGAAGGCGGAGGCGGCTGCTGGGAGCGGCTGAGCCGGACTGGCTCCCACGAATGCCCAGGGCTGTGGGAGCTGCTCTGCGCCTGGGCTGCTTTCGTGTGGCAGCAGCACGCGCGCCAGGACGCAAGTCTCCCTTGGAACGTTCCCGGGAGCCGCTGGGCTGCTCCGGCTGTCAGGGGGCTGCCCCGGCTGTCCGGGGGCCGCTGGGCTGCTCCGGCTGTCCGGGGGCTGCCCCGGCTGTTCGGGGGCTTCTGGGCTGCTCCAGCTCTCTGTGCCCTGAGTGGGCTCCAGCTGCCTTAGAGTTAGCCAACTGGGCTGGGACTCCGTGGGGCGGGATTGGGAGCCCAGCCCCAACCCCACCCACCCCCTTTGCTCCAGTCAGAGCTTCTGGGGGTGGGGACCCTTGGGAGCTTTTCCCAGAGCAGCAGCGCCCCGCTCAGTACCGCCCACTGTGCCTGTGGGGTCAAGTCCCGGTCTCGCTCCTCTCTCCTCTGTCCATCACCTCTTGGCTCTCCCTAGCACGAACACGAGCCTGGGGAGGAAGCCATGCGAGGTTGGGAGGGTCAACTCCCAGCTACCGTTCCACCTCTGCCCTGCTGAGGCCGGGGCTGCCCTGGAGCAGCACAGTGCAGATGTCCTTGCAACATCTTGGGGTTACCGGTGGAGAGAAAGCACTTCTGGAAAGGGGAGAGAGAAAACGGAAGGAGATCCCCGATGCCGATTGCTGGCTCTCACTGCAGCTAGCTTTCTGCTTGTCTTCCCTGCACCCCAACCTCTAAATCCACGGGATCTTTTACTGGAGGCGGGGCAGAAGGGAGAGAAAAAAGGGCCAAGGAGGATCCACTACCCTTGTGCAATTGATTGTCTTAGAGATTTGCCTCAGCATATTGACATGTATTAGAAAAAGGACTATAATAACAGTAATAAGAATAGGAATAAGAATAAGAATTTATATGGCACATTGAGTTTTACAAGGTGTTTTACAGATATCCCATTTTATCCTTCCAACCACCCTGGGAAGTAGGTGCCATTATTATTCCCATTTTACATATGAGGAAACTGAGGCAGACAACGACAAACAGACTCTTGCACGGGATCAGACCGATAATAAACCCAGTTCTTTCTGGATCCAAGGGCAGTTTTCTTTCTACTACTTTCTTCTGCCTCTTTCTGTCATTGCTGGTTTGAAATCACTCTTCTCCCTTCCATTTACTTCCGCTCCTTTGCCATTTTTGGCCCCCTATAAAAACAGTAATGGCTAGCACTTGCATAGAGCTTTTACAGATATTATCTCATTTTATTAGATAGACAAAGGTGCTATTGCCCAGGGTCACATAGCTAATATGTGTCTTGGGTGGGATTTGAACTCTGTCTTCCTGACTCTATGTAATACACTACCTAGCTGCCTCTGTTACTGCCTAATTTATCTCAAGAACAGGTGTCCTACTTGACCTTACAGATTTGGCATCATGGGCCACCAGGGAACAAAACAAATCAGGCAGCTTTGCCTCTCTTCCTCCAAAGCAGGTTTTTGCAAGCTTCTTTATCCAGAGGGGTCTCTCTGAAAATTGAGTTTTCCTGAAGCTTGTTCCCTATTAGTGAATTAGAGTTTACAAACTCCTATAATCTCTAGAGGGAACCTTCCAGATCATCTTACCAATGAGGAAACTGTGGTCAGAAAAGGAAAATAACTTGGCCAAAGTTTTGCCACCAGTTTGTGACAGAGCCAAGACTAACCCAGGTCTACCTATTCTTAATTCTGGGCTCTTCCCATAACCATTTTTCAGTCTGGTAGCTGCTATAAATACCACAAATGCTCATCATATTGGGCAGCTGAGTAGTATAAGTGATAAGCTCTGAGCTCTGTAGCTAGTGGCCTCAATAGCTCATTCTCTCTTTTTTTTTTTTGGCTAGGCAATGGGGTTAAGTGACTTGCACAGGATCACACAGCTACAAAGTGTCAAGGGTCTGAGGTCACTTTTGAACTCAGGTCCTCCTGAGTCCAGGGCTGGTGCTCTAACCACTGCACCACCTAGCTGCCCCTTAATAACTCTTTTTTTTTTCAGGCTCTACATATGCATTGCTATTAAACATATTTTCACATTAGTCATGATGTAAAGAATTAGAACAAATAGAAGGAACTACAAGAAAGAAGAAACAAAATAGAAGGAAAAAAAGAGCAAATAGTATGCTTTGATCTGCATTCAAAATCCCTTTCTCTGGAGGTGGATAGCATTTTCCATTATGAGACTTTTGGAAATGTCTTAGATCCTTGCATTGCTTGGAAGAGCTAAGTCTATCAAAGTTGATCATCACACAATGTTGCTGTTACTGTGTACAATGTTCTCCTGGTTCTGCTCATTTCATTCAGCATCGCTCCATACAAGTCTTTCCAGGTTTTTCTGAAGACTGCTTGCTCATCATTTCTTTTTTTCTTTATTAATTTATTCATTTTTAGTTTTTAACATTCACTTCCATAAGATTTTGAGTTCCAAATTTTCCCCCCATCTCATCCCTCCCCCAACTCCAAGATGACATGCATTCTGAATGCCACTTTACCTAATCTGCCCTCCCTTCTATCTCCCCCCCTTCTCTTATCCTCTTCCCCTTCTATTTTCCTGTAGGGCAGGATAGATTTCTATACCCCATTGCTTGTATGTCTTATTTCCCAGCTGCAGGTGAAAACAATTTTTTAAAATTTGTTTTTTAAAACTTTGGGTTCCAATGCTCATCATTCTCATAGCATAATAGTATTCCATTACATTCATATACCACAACTTGTTTAGCCATGCCCCAATTGATGGGCATCCCCTCAATTTCCAATTCTTTGCCATTACATAAAGAGCTGCTATAAATATTTTTGTATATGTGGGTCCTTTTCCCATTTCTATGATCTCTTTGGGATACAGCCCTAGAAGTGCTATTGCTAGGTCAAAGGGTATGCACATTTTTATAGCCCTTTGGGTATATTTCCAAATTGCTTTCCAAAATGGTTGGATCAGTTCACAACTCCACCAACAATGCATCAATAACTCATTCTTAACAGTGCTTATGGGACCCTTGTCCCCACCAGACTGACACAGACACACACATACACACAGATCACTCACACCTGCAAACCTTTGTTTCCAAGGAAAGGAATGCTAAAGGTGGGGACACTAGCAGAAGACATATCCTGGCTGCTCTCATATCCCTGGGTTTTTATGACATTGCTTTCTCCTGGTTCTCCTCTTGTCTGACTAAGAATTTTCAATCTCCTCTGTAGGATCATTAACCATTTCCTGTTCCCTGTGGGATATACCCTGGCCTTTGTTCCTGAGCCCATTTTTCTTTCTTTCTACACTCTCAGGGATCTCATCAGCACCCATGGATTCAACTCTCATCTCTGTGCAGACTGCTCTCAAATCTACATACCCAGCTCTCAGCTCTTTCCTGAGCTTCAGTCCCTCATCTCCAATTGCCTGCTAGACTTCTCTACCTCGATGGCCTGTAAGTATCTCAAAACTATTGTGTCTGAAGCAGCTCATTATCTTTTCCCTTAAACTTGATAATTTTTTAGGGAACACTCTCATCCTCCCAGTCGCTCGAGTGAACAACTGCATTCATCTCTTGTATTTATCTTCTTATCTCCACTCATACCATAACATCCTAATTAAATGCCTCACCACTGCCTGGATTATTGCCCTGGCTTCTGAATTGGTCTCTCTGCTTCTAGCCTCTCCCCTTTCCAATCCAATCTCCATACAGCTGTCCAAAGAACCAGTTTAAATAAATGACTTAATTGCTCAAGAAAGATCAATGGCTCCCTATTGACTTTATAATTTAAACCTTTTTTTGTTTTATATTTAGAGTCCTTTTTGTCTTGTATTTTGAAATTTACAATCTGGCTCCAGCTCTTTCCAGACTAATGACACAATACTCCTTCTTGTGTACTCTATCATGCAGCCAGACTGACCTCCTTGCTACTTCTTGGACACACCGTTCCTTCTTCTTTCTCCACGCTGTTGCATAGGCTGTATTCCATCCTTCATCATGCTTTGAATGTTCTTGTTATTTACAAACAATTTTTGTAAATTCCAGCCCCTTTCATGGCTCACTTCAAAAACCACATCCTTCCCTCCCTTGTTAGTGCTTTCCTTTCCAAAACCAGTTCTTCATATTTATTTTACATATATTTGTATTTACTTATCTCTGTACATGTTATCTCCCCTGGTAAAATGAAAGGTTTTTAAAGGCAGAAACTTTTATTTTTGTTCCCTTTTATCCAGCACTGAGCGCAGTGCCTACCATACAGGTATGTAATAGGTACTTAATAAAAGCTTATTTAGGGGCAGCTAGGTGGCACACTGGATAGAGCACCGGCCCTGAAGTCAGGAGGACCTGAGTTCAAATCTCAGCCTCAAACCAAACACTTGACACTTACTAGCTGTGTGACCCTGGGCAAGTCACTTAACCCCAATTGCCTTTAAAAAAAAAAAGCTTATTTAACTGAATTACTTGAGAGTAGGATTTTCTTGCCGAACTTTGCCCAGGTTTCTCCATCCATGAAATGGGCACACCATAGGAAGAGTCATCTCCTATGAAGTATTTTATTTAATTTCATTTCATTCACCCAACTTTAGATGCTACTTGTTGAATATTTTGGTGGGATTAGTTTTTGAGGGGGTCATTCTGACCTGGTCACTAAAACCTATAAATTTTTAGAGTCTAAGTCTTACAAAAGAGCACATAAAGGCTAAAGAAGACCTGAGGGATACTTCAGAGGGACTGGGCCACATTCTCCATCAGGGATTGGGAGTCTAGAGGCATTAGCAACAGATTGGATATGGCCGGGGGTTGAGGGGGGCCCTGAGAGAGTGAGAGACAGTGGGGAATTGAGGATGACTTCTAGCTTGTGAGGGACTTGGAGGGTGGTGTTGCCCTCTACAATAATAGGAACGGTAGTGAGGGGGATGGGAAAAGGGGAGGGTTTAGGGAGAAAGATAACAAGCTTGATTTTGAACATGTTCAGTTTAAGATGTCTGTTGGACATCCAGTTTGAGATGGCTGAAAAATAGTTGGAGATGTGAGATTGGAAGTCAGCAGAAAG